GTAAGAGACCCTGCTTTGTAAATCTTTGTATCTATGACTCATAGTAAAATGCCAAACACCTAAGGTGCTCAAAGTATTTGTGATATTTAATTAACAATTAAATATCTCTGAGGCACAAATGACCCAGTGTTCCTAATCACTCCAGTCTTTTATTAGAATAGGTTCAATCCAAGCTCGAGGTCTCTTTTATTTTGAGACTCTTCTGCCCTTTTACAAGAACTTTATCAATTGTTTAATTGTTTGGTTTAGTGTTGAGTATTTAAAAAATCTTTATTTCTGATAATCTGACATTGATTAAATATGTTTACTTAATATTTCTTGCATATGCTTAACAGATAATTAATGTAATTCTATGTAGATGACATTAGACAAGAGATTGACAGGAATACACTATATTTTAATGTCATTTGGAAATTACCCAATGATGACTGGAACACCTAACACAACTAGTGGTTTAGCTTAAATTTGTGCTATTTAGTTGTCTCAATTTTGTACATTTTGAATTAGTGAATAGTCAGTCCTCAGAAAGTCTATTGATAATTAATAGCAAGTATATGTTCTGAGTTTATGCTCAAGAAAGATTTCCTTAGGCTCTTGTAGGTATTTTTCTATTCATTTCAAATATTTTGTTGGCACCATGGTATCATTCATCTTTGTTCAACTACTGCAGTGTCTTCTCTTTGGTAATTCATTCTTTCCCATCATGTTTTACATTAGGGTTTTATTTGCCCTCAAGCTCCCTCTCCTTTTCAGAGCAGTCAAAATAGCTGACTTCAGAACCAGGGAACACAAATATTCTGCAGATTTATTTAGTGGCAAGTAATCTTCACTTCTAAAAAGCTTTATTTTCCAAAAGAAGATTATAAAAAGTATAAAAAATTCACAGCATCTTGATACAACGGTTTCTGTTTTACATTACTTTCTTAAAATTTACCTATATGGTAACAGTTAATCTTAAAACAAATATTATTGTAATATAATCTATTTTGGAGGGAAGGCTTTAAACTTTTTGAGGATATAAGTAGAAAGTAAGAAGGACACTCTAGGATCCTCTTTCTCTCTGTCCTCAAAATTCAGGCTATCATAGATTCTCCCCCCTTACAAGGGAACAGTTGAGCTTTAGATCAAGCTCTGCTTAAATCATGTTTCTTATTGTCTCATGGAGACTGGAAGTTTGGATTCAGGATGGCCTTCTGACACATTTCAGACTGTCATCAACTACCTTATAAAATTAAACGTTAATTGTAAAAGTTAAAAAGATATTTTGAAAGAAATGAAAACTAAATTATGGGCAAGTTTTTTGTTTTGTATAGGGTTTTCCTTTGCTATTCTTTTCATTTGGATAATTCTTCTTCTATTCAATATTAAGAAAATTTGCTCTCCTTTTTAGTCATTATTTTATTTATTTTCCCCCTATATAACTACGTTTGGTCTAATTCTAAGTCATGTGCATTGGATTTTACCCCTAGAGAAATGCATAAGGGCACTGAGTGGGGTAGCATTGCTCTGCTTTTTTAGGCCCTCCCTATTTCATTACCTTTATAATCCCTGCCCACACACCCTCCCAAAATGCAGAATCTAGCATTCTTCTGAAATTCTTTTCTTTCCTCCTTCAGAACAACTTTTTGTGCACTAATACAATATTTGAATAGTACGAGCTCAGTCTTGACTGCTTCCTCCAGGCAAAATGAAGAAATTATAGCATTCTTTTTAACTGGTGGCATTCTTGAGTACGATGCAAGATGTTTAAAAGTCTGTGTCTTTCAAAAAACCCGCACAGTGTAAAAGATGGTAAGGCATTTTGGGACTAAAAGAATATCGATTTGATCTCCTCCCACCATGTCCATCTAGTAATTAGAGATTTTTACAAGTTAAAAATTTACTTCATTAATTTGCTCTAATTTTATATGGTCTTATTAGCAGATATTTGAAGTTCAGGGATAAAGAAGGATGAATAACCCACATTTGACTATCTTTTGCCTGCCTGCTAATGCATGACCCCTGCAAAGCTACCTCCTTAATTACACATATTTTGGGGATCCTGCAGGAGTTGTCACATGTGTTGATAAATAAGTCCAATCATTTACTAATGGCCGTTGGCCATTTTCTTCCCCCTTGCCTCACGCTTATTTATCAATACATGTGACAACATTACTTGCTAGGCCTGCTCCATCAACTGATTACTGCTACCACCATGTCTGCTTTCGCTGAGCGTGGGTCCCGCTTTGTCTGAATACCACCACTCTGAGTACATTAATGCAACTGGTTACCAGTCCTGCTTACTTTCTATGCACTGCCCCCTGTGGCTACTTCACCACCCTTCTTAAACCAGTATTCCAGGGGCCATAAAGGGGTTCTTTCTTAAGTAGACTGTCTCTCTCTCTTTTGTCCTGTTCTTCCTAGTGGGAAACTAGAGCAGTATTGTTTATACATCAGAGCATTTTTAGAGATAGCTTGTACATTTTACTCAGTTCTCCAACCCTGTTGAAACTGGATATGAATCCTGGGTTCAAGTCCAGATCATTGACTCTACTCAGTACTATTCTCAGAATTTCCCCTTAAGTCCAAATGCAAAGGGTAAGGGGCTTTGCTCTTGACCTTTGATGCTCTCCACAGACCTCATTTTGCTTATTCTCCTCTAAGCGCCATAATTTCTGTATAGTTTAGGATTTTCAGTCTTAGTGAAGATATGCAAGGGCCCTATTGGTTGTCAAGTTAACAGCTTCTCTGCCTCTTATAAATTAGCCAGTGTGGATTAAAAAAAAAAAAGCTATGCTCCACTCTCCATTTCTGTTACCAGGGGAACATTTTGACAAATTCTTTATTATTGATCAACTCAAACTGAAAAATACAACTTCAGGTGCAGCCTTGTTTTGATATGTAAGTAAAAGAGTGGCCTTTTTGGTTTCAGATATAGAATTTTATCTCTTTAATTTACATGACCAAACCTTTTTATGTAGCTACTGACTGCTAAACGTCATTTTTGTCTTTGCCCCAATTATCATAAATTCTAATTTTTGGTATCTGAATAAACATTGAATTGAGGAATGTGAGTTTTTATTTTCTAGTATAGTCTAGAAATTGTGACTTATAGTGCTCAGTGTGAGAGGAAGTATGCATCTGTTTTATCACATTCTTTCTTCTCTATTCCTAGTGAAATATTAATCCCTTTGCATGTCCTAATTGAAGACTTCCTTTCTGTAGAAACTTCTCATACAGATGTTTTTCCTTCATAAAACCCCTGTTGTACTTAGCACTTATTCATTCATTCATTTCACTATTTTACTATATAAGGTGAGAGATCATATTTAATACTTTGGTTTTTTCCATATAAATTTGCATAGTGCTAGACCTATGAGTAATAATAAGGTAATTGAATAAAGGTATCCCCAAACAGTCCTGTGGTTGGTACTTTATTATACCCATTTTATGGCTGGGGAACTTAGAGGAGTAATTTGTGCAAATTGGCTAGTAGGCTGAGAAGTTAGAATAAGAAGCCAGGCAGTTAGAATCCACACATTAAATTTAATAAATACAAAATTTATTTAATTCATTAACTGATTCTTTAAACATTCCAGACCTCACCCATCCAGATGAGAACAGTGCAGTTTACATATTCTAGTATAGAGTAAATATTTTAGTTTAAAAAGTACAACTGTAGAGTAATAATTCTGAAATAAGTCTGATAAAACTAACTGAAAGCAATTCTAAAGAACACAACTTTGGAAATATTTTGGGTATAGCAGTCTTGACAACTCAGAAAGATAATACAAAGTTGAAATGAACATTTCATAATTAATAGCCCCTTTTCTCTGTTGCCTGCTGGTAAGGAGCTGCATCCTCTCATAGTAATGAGCCTACCAGCTCTCCTACCCCATATTTGTATGCAGTGGCAGCCAGCTTCTGATTAGAGCAGGGAAGATCTGGAGGTCGAAGAGTCCTTTGTTTTCATCTCTAACCTTTTAAGGCACTTTAGTGTAAGGAAAGGAGTAAATTCAGATCAAGGCAAAATTTACTGTTTATTATTACAGTCTGTTTCCTTACTACCCTTTTCAACTTCATTTTTCTTGTATCCAACATATATCTTGGTCTGCCGCCATCCTTTTACCCAAACTACTGTGTACTCTGCCCCCTGCACCTGTACATAGCCCAATAAGTAAGTGTGCTGTGCTTGCCAGCACAGACTCTGGAGGCAGTCTGCTTTGGTTCAGAGCCTGCCTCCATTACCTGCTGGCTATCTGTCTTTTCTGTACCTTGGTTTCCTCATTATACAAGTAATGATGGTACTACTACACAGAGTAGCTAAGAGGAATAAGTGAGTTAATACATGTAAAATTTTAGAAGAATGCTTGTTACTAGGTAGGTACATAATAAGTATTATCTGTTGCTGCTCTCTTTTTAAATGCAGGTAGAATAAAATATCTGGATCTGTCATAACATGCAGATTAACAAATGAATCTGGATGCTAATATGGCTTCACACAGTTTACTTTTAAGTAAATGTTTCCTATAGTAGTAACTATATACCATTTACCTTGCAAATTCTACTTTAATTAGCCTGTTTATATGTGGGAGATCATAAATACTTGCTTTGTATATTAAAAGTATGCCACAAAATGTGTTTGTACTTAATAACTACCTAACAGATGTTTCTTTTCCTTAAAAAGATATTTAAAAAAATGCTTAAATACTAAATAATTTTAAATATATGTTTAAAAACCAAGCTTATATTATTAAAAGCCCAAATATATGTATTATTCTTACCGCAGTTCTCAATGTGATGACATACTAAATCTAGGAAAAGAAGTGTACTTTTCCTTTTCCTAGAGTTTATTTCTGGGTGGTTAACCAAGAATGCATTAAAGTGTGCTTATTCTAATGAATCATATCTCAAATATCAATACTGGCAAATGATTCTTTTTATTATTTCTCAGAGATCTTGGTTTTATTGGCAATAGAAGATAATTAATTGGCACCTCTTTTTAATTCTTTTTTAAACAGGACTGCTAGTCCTTCTGCTATCAGATGTCTTTCTGCTTGACTGAACTGCACCTGTGGTCTTTGAAGAATACCTTACACATTGGGGGTAAATAGCACTGGATTAATTTCAATATTTTTCAAATATAAGTTACAACAATATAAATTAGTACTAGCAAAGGTTAGAGCCTAGATTCTTTAGCTGAAATTGCATTATTTTCTTTACACTTAACGAAAAATTGGCTACTGAAAAGTAATTTCTTTTATTTAATTCTGACTAACTTATTTCTCAACTTGAGTTAGATTTTCTATTTTGGAAATTCATTTCATTGACTTAATAGCTAGTTTTTCTTAGGGTTTGTTCGTAAAAATTGATTTATATTTGTAAATATTTGCATACTTGCTAATGGTAAATGCATTTGTATTGATAATAAAGTAATATTTCAAACATACAGGTAAGATGTACAATTATATTCTTTTTTTGCATTTCACATTTTTTCAGGAGGAGTAATATAAATATGTTTTAATGATGTTTGTTTAGTATTTCAGTATAAAGTGTTTTATATCATTAGGAAACATCTTTTGAAAAATCTTTTCCTCTTTGAGTATCTAAAGCAACTCTTATTTAGGAGAACAGTTTTATTAATGTGTCTTTAGCATCATTACTAAGAAAATGATTTACCTTGCAAAGCATTCTTGCTTAATATTAAATATATAATTACAGATGGATGTCATTATAATTTCATTAAGTTTAGTTTGCTTAAAATGCATAAAGATAGAATTTCCAGTTAAACAAGGTAGGAAGACTTAACACACATTTGATTCCTCCCCAGATTCTTCTAAAATGAGAGTTAATGAATTAAGGTGTAAACCCACAAGGACTAAGAGACTAGGAGAGGAGACAATTGTAGTTGAATAGTTTTTGGAAGGGATGGAAGAATTACCAGAGCTTAAAAATATGAATATCAAATGTCTACAGAGAATTCCAGTGACAGCCAGTTTGGGTCTTAAAACTCTAGAGAGGTATAGAAATTTGAGGAGTCAGATACTGCAGAAGGGTGGGGATGTGGCATGAGAGTGATAAGAAAAGGACTTGAAAATCTATGTAAGAAGTGGTGAGACATTTCTCAGACTAGAAATACTTAATTTAGGGAAACTCAAAACTAGTCACAGTGGAAGAAAACAGGGAATAAATCCCTTCATAATCAGATTAATCTTAATCTAAGAATGTTGCAGCCAGTTGTACACTTTCCAAGAAGGAAGGAGCTGAGGGAGTCCTCTCTGGAGCGACTGCATGGCCCCAGAGAGAAGACCTATCAACACTGATATTTGAGGTCTTCCTCCAGTGAAACATCCTGGTCCCTGACTGATCAGTGAAGCCCACTAGTTGGCAAGCCCTGTTCATGTATATTGAGCCTCTAGTAAGCTTTCTAGTGCCTCACTCTATGAACAGCAAGAAATGAAATGTAGAAGTTTCAAGAAACATTTGATAATTGTACTAATTTTTTGGAAATTAAAAATATGTAGCAGAAAAAAATTAAAACTCAAGAGTCAAAGAAATTGTGTCAGAAAATAGAAAAAAGAAAGAAAGAAAATGAACTTATTTCACTGCTGGTGAAAGTATAAATTGGTCCAGTCACTTTAGTAGACAATTTGGCATTATCTAGGATAGCTGAAGATGTATGTTGCCTACTGACCAAGAATTCCTCTACTAGATAGATTCCCTAGTGAAAGCCCCAATAACTTGTGCACTAGGGGGCTTATACAAAAATGTTTATAATAGTACTGTTTGTAATACAGGAAACTAGAAATAACCCAAATGTCATTCAGCAGGAAATTGGATAAATGCATTTAATATAAGAGAGAAAGTGAATGAATTACAGCTGCATGAAACAACATTGATGAATGTAAGAAACATAATATAGGACAAAAAATTTAAACTGTAGGTTGCAGAATAGTACATACAGTGTGATTGCATTTAGGAGAAGTTCAGAAACAACAGGTAAAAAAACTGCATATGGAATAATTCTCTCAGAAAGGGATCTGGAAAATGGTTGAAAGAGCCTCTACAACAAAAAGTAAAAGGACAGCATTGAGAGGGGTAGGAGAGGCAGAGGGACAGTCCTGCCAAGGTAAAAACCACATCCCAGCCATGGGAGTCCACATTTGGGAGGGATGCAAAGGTACAAATCTTTTCCTTGAGAAACAAGGGATTCAGGCTGTAAATCAAGCATCCCAACCTCTAGGCCCTGCACAGGAGAGAAAAGTCCCCTAAATACTTGGCTTTGAAAACCAGTGAGGAATATGTCCAGGGAAACTATAGAACTGCTTGGGAACAGAAAACCCACTCTTAGAGGGTGCACAGCAAACTCACTTGACCTGGAAACCTGTGCAGAAGCACCAGGTTGAGAAGTGCATGGACCACAGGTAAAGGGGATCAAATACCAATCCTGAAGCATCTGCTGGAGAGGCAGGAACCTATTGTGACACTTTCTGGAAACTGAGGTACTAGTAGAAGTCATTTTTACAGCCTCAGGGTACCTTCCTAATTCTGTTGCAGGCAGGCACCATTTTGAAATTCTTCCTCTAACCTGTTAGCACCCATGGGTGTACCTCACTGAGTACCTGGCCATCCTTGTGCTCCATCCAGGCTTCACAGCCAGCCAAGTGATAGCCCTACCCACCAATTCTTTCAGCTGTTCTGGGGACCAGCCACGCCCACCAGCATACTGTAGCAGCCTCTGCCCTGCCACAACAGGAGGTTGCATTACAACCCACACAGGGGACACCCTTTGAGTGTTTGGCTCTGGTGGCTAGGCAGGATTCCACCTCTAAGCCCCACAGGACATTTTCTAAACAAGGCCACTCCTACAAGACTAGGAGAGATAACTGATCTACTTCATACATAGAAATAAACACAAAGACCTAGGCAACATGAGGCAGAGAAATATATTCCAATCAGAATATCAAGACAAAACCGCAGAAAGAGAACTAAACAAAATGGAGGTAAGCAATATACTATATAAAGAACTTATAGTAATAATCATAAAGATGCTCATCAAGCTCTGGAGAAGAATGGATGAACACAGTGAGAACTTCAACAGAGGTATAGAAAAATGTAAGTAAGTACTAAACAGCAGTTATAACTGAACTGAAGGATACACTAGAGGGGTTCAAAAGCAGACTGGATGAGGTAGAAGAATGAGTCAACAGGCTAGAGGACATAACATTGGAACTCACCCAGACAGAGCAACAAAATGAAAAGAGAATTTTAAAGAGAAGGTACCTTAAGGGACCTTTGGTTACAACATTAAGCAGAATAAGATTTGCACTGTAAGGGTCCCAGAAGGAGAAGAAAGGGCCAGAAACGTTATCTGAAGAAATAGTGGTTGAGAACTTCCCTAACTTGGGAAAGGAAACAGATATCCAGGTCTAGAAAGCCCAGAGAATTCTAAACAAGATGAACCCAAAGAGATGCACACCAAGGCACGTTATAATTAAAATGGGAGAAGTTAAGGATAAGAGAAAATCCTAAAAGCAGCAAGAGAAAAACAATTAGTTACATACAAGGGAAATGCCATTAGGCTATCCGCAGAAACTTTACAGGCCAGAAGAGAGTGGCACGTCATATTCAAAATGTGGAAAGGAAAAAAACCCTCTAACCTAGAATTTTCTGTCCAACAGTGTTATCATTCGTAATTGAAGAAGAGATCAAGAGTTTAGCAGAGAAGCAAATAACGTGTAATAGACCATAATAGAAAAGAATATGAAAAAGAATATATATGAATAACTGAATCACTTTGCTATACACCAGAAACTAACACAATATTGTAAATCAACTATACTTCAATAAAAGAAAGAAGAAAATGAGAAAGGAATCTAAACATAATGCTAGAGAAAACCACCAAAACACAAAGCAAGAGAGAAAGAGAAGAACAAAGGGACAGAGAAGAGCTACAGAAACAGCCAGGAAACAATCAACAAAATGGAATAAGTACATACATCTCAATAATTACTTTGAATGCAAATGGACTAAATTCACCAGTCAAAAGTAGTTGAGTGGATAAAAAAACAAGACCTGTCTATATGTTTCCTACAAGAGAATTACTTCTCTTGTAATTCTTGAAAGAATATACACAGACTTAAAGTGGAGGAATGGAGAAAGATACTCCATGAAAATGGAAATGAAAAGAAAACTGGACAACTGTACACATATCAGACAAAATAGACTTTAAAACAAAGATGGTAATAAAAGATGAAAAAGGACGTTATATAATGATAAAGAGGGCAATCCAACAAGAAAACATTAACATTTATATACGTATGTGCACCCAGCAGAGGAGTACCAATATATTTTTAAGCAAACAATAACGGACAAAGAGAAATTGAAAACAGTACAATAAGGAGGCTTTAACACCTTACTTACATCAGTAAAGAGATCACCCAGACAGAAAATCAACATGGAAACATTGGACTTAATGACATATTAATCCAGATTGACTTAATAGATAAATACAGAACATTTCATCCCAAAGCGGCAGAATACACATTCTTCTCAAGTGTATGTTCTCCAAGGTAGATTACATATAAGATCATAAAACACATCTCAGTAAATTCAGGAAAACTGATATCATATCAAGCATCTTCTCTGGCCACAATGTTATGAAACTAGAAATCAATCACAGGAAAAAGAAAAGGGACAAAAATTGGATATTAAACAGCATGCTGCTGAACAACCAGTGGGTCATCAAAGAAATCAAAGGAAAAATCAAATAATATTTAGAGGAAAACAGAAATGTGTCATACAAAAACCTATGTGATGCAACAGAAGTAGTTCTAAGAGGGAAGGTCTTACAATATAGGCCTATTTCAAGAGACAAGAAAAATCCCAAATAACAATTTAACTTTATACTTAAAGGAACTAGAAAAAGAAGAACAAATGAAGCCCCAAATAAGCAGATGGAAGGAAATAACAAAGATCAGAGCAGGAATAAATTAAATTGAGACTAAAAAAGAAAAAATAGAAAAGGTGAATGAAACTGAGAGCTGATTCTTAGAAAACATAAATCAACAAACCTTTAGCCAGACTAAACAAGGAGAAAAGAGAGA